GTGCAAAAAAAAAAAAAAAAGGTTCAATCAATCAATTTCAACTTCTCGTGGGAAAAAAAAAGATCTGGCAAAGTTGGAATTGATTGATTGAACTTTTTAGTCCCACTCAGTCTGCCGGTACCACCGCAGCCACGCCCACCCAATGGGCCACGCCCACCCAACGGGTCACGCCCACCTGGCACCCAGCGATACATAACTGGGTTTTGGGGTTGCAGTTTGGGCACTGGGTCTCTAAAAGGTTCACCATCACTGCCCTATACCCTATCAGACAAATGATTGTCCGATCTCTTCTTATAAAAATTCCAGTGTTGGAGCACCCACAACTTCTGGTGGCGAGTTGTTCCACTGGTTAATTATTCTCGCTGTCGGGACATTCGTCCTTAGTTCTAAGTGTAGCAGGGGACCCTATACAGGCGGTGCAGAACTGCGCGCAAAATCTCTGTTGTTAAGGAAGGTGTTTGTTAAGTGAATTTGCCCCCATCTTACGATCTTTCTTGACCCCGGTTGTTAAGTGAATCCCTGCAGTGGTTAAGGGAGTGACACGGTTGTTAAGTGAATCTCGGCTTCCCCCGTTGACTTTGCTTGTCAGAAGGTTGCAAAAGGGGATCACGTGATCCTTGGGATACAGCAGCGGTCATAAATATGAATCGGTTGCCAAGCGTCCGAATTTTGCTACCATGGTCGTACAAAGAATTATTAGACAGTCAGAGGAATCTTAAATCAAAGGAAGAACTAAAAGAACAGGGTATAATTATAGACCGGTGGCCATATTTACAGACACAGTCGAGATATGGAAAAGATATGGAGGAATATGGAATTCAAGGGGTACCACAACAATTGGATAGAATATTATAATAATAATAAAGTTGGAAGGGACCTTGGAGGTCATCTAGTCCAACCCCCTGCTCAGGCAGGAGACCCTATAACATTTCAGACAAATGGCTGTCCAGTCTCTTCTTGATTGAGAGGCAAGGAAGAATTTTTTTTAACAAGAGTGTATAAATATTTATTAGAGGTAGAAATGGAAGAAGAAATAGTGAAAGGTCCGATGATAGCATGGGCACAGAATGTAGGCTGAAATATAAATTTAGAAGAATGGGATAAAGTATGGAACAAAAACTGCAAATTAACATTATCAACGGCATATAAAGAAAATCAGTACAAAATGCTTTATAGGTGGCATCTAACACCGGCAAGATTGGCCAAGATGCATACAAATATGAAACCGGACTGTTGGAAGTGCAAATATAAGGATGGAACATTTTATCACATGTGGTGGCAATGTCCTAAAGCAAGGAAATACTGGGAACAGATAAGGAGATGGCTACAGGAGATAACAGGAGAACAAATTGAATGTAAAGCTGAATTATTTCTGTTAGGAATAATAAATCAAAAGATAAAGAAGCAACTCCAATATATTATTGTACACATAGTAACAGCAGTCTATGCTCAGTGCTGGAAACTTGAAAATATACCAGCTAATGATATGATTATTTATGAGATATTAGAATGTGCCGAGATGTATAAGCTTATGCTAGAAATGAAAGGCAAGGAAGAAACAGAATTTTATGAGGTGTGGGATAAGTGGTATAATTGGTTAGAACAGAGAAACAAAAATGTATAGTAATAAATGTAAGTAACCGTAAGAGATACACGACACAGTACTGTTAAAAAAAATGTTTAATGTTTTGTTTGGGACAAATTTTATCGCTGGTATGAATTAAGGAGAACCGCTCGGATCTTAAGCTAAGCTATCCTAACTTTGTATGTATATTAACATGTATATTAACATATATATTAACATAACACATCTTCTTACTCCAAATATATCTCCAATTCCTACTACATAATTCAAAAACATAGTGCTCTTTGTTTAACAATCCTTATAAATGAGACCTTACGGTGCATACAGGTAAAAACATTTAATTGTATTATAAATAAAAAACTTTGTATTAAAAAAAATGTTTAATGTTTTGTAAATTGGAAAAATGAAAAATGAAAATTAAAAAAAAAAGTGTGAAAAACAGTCATAAGTCCCTGTTTTCAATGCCGTTGTAACTTTGAACAGTCACTTAATGTAAGTTGAGGACTATCTATAGCCAGGGGTAGTCAACCTTGGCTCTTTTATGACTCGTGGACTTCAACTCCCAGAATTCCTGAGCCAGCTAAGCTGGCTCAGGAATTCTGGGAATTGAAGTCCACGAGTCATAAAAGAGCCAAGGTTGACTAACCCCTGAATACAATTGGAGACAAGTGGCT